TGAAAAAATTGTGTATTAAAAAGTGTGCATTAAAATCTTATTTCTTTGGTTTGTACATTGGTTTCTTAGCATGTTGGTTATAAAAGAAAGTACTGTATGTAAGCTTCAGACTGAGTCTTGTGTGAAATTGTCGTGTGTCGCTTACTTTTAAAATGTTTATATTTCTGATATAAAATCTCCTCCTCTCTTGACTACGTTAGCAGATTCATTTATTTAATTCAAGATCCATTCAATTTTGCTCATCCAAATCCTTTTGTTATTCTTATTACCAGTTCCTTATTCTGCTATTTTAGGGTCCTGTTTTCTGTTACATGGGCGGTCTAGTGATATCTGAGCAATCTATCAGTGCCTGCTGGAAGCTGATAAGAGGCTAAGATATCTTCTGATGCTGTGATTGAAAGCAATGATAAAGGAATTAATATAATTTAAATCTAATTTTAAAATGTTGGATTTGCAATTAGAATCATACTCCAGGATGCCTCTCCACCAACCTGCAGCCTTATTGTTCCTCTAGCTTTGCTTCCAGGGTTCCTATAAATGTCTCTCCAGATCTTTGGTACCATCCTTTCAATATTCTTTCAGTCATTCCTGTGCTTTGGAATTGACATGCATCTCCTGGGCCCACCTTGCTGCTGAGTGCTCCGGTAAAAAGCACTTTTAAAAGTTGTGCTTTCCTTTAGGTATTTCAATAATGTTCATGAGGTAAGCCAATTGGGGGTTGTGCTAGTAGGATTTACAGAAGCATTTCACTTTCTTTAAAGCTATAGTAGGAATGGGAGAATGGATGGATACTTGGGAAAAGGTTAAGTTTTTTTTTTTTTTTTTTTTGTGTGTGTGTGTGTGTACCACAATCAACTCAAAAACACAGATTGACCCCCTTTTGTTTTATATTATTTTCTATTCTTTCTTCAAATAGACTGAGGTTCATGTGTGCTACTTTTGCCTCTGTAGGTGATTTTCTGTATAAAGATGACTATAATGATATGATGGAAAGAAGGTATTTGAGCAAGTATCTTCATAAGATCTGCTGAAGAGGTGTCATCTCCTGGAGCCTAAGGGAGCAAGGTGCCAGCCAATAAAGGGGCAAGGAGAAAACTGGGTAAGCTATGGGCAGCATCATGAAGTGGAGAGTACTTCGAGCTGTTTTCTACTGCATAATTCCTTGAGAAGGAATTGATCTTTATCTCCATTTCTGCAGTACCTATCATAACGTCTGGCTCACGCCACATGCTATATGGAAATTGCTAATGAATTTCCATAGCAACACTGGGGGGAGGGAAATGACTAGGAAATAGAGAAATTTCTAAAGAATAATTAGTGTTTGGAGAATTAGTGAAGGGAGAGAAAAGGCAATGTAGGCAGTCAAGGTGTGTGTGAATTTATTACTTTCTATTGAAAACTTCTGTTTTAAAGACAGTCTTGCTAGGCAGTCCAGGCTGGCCTGGATGCACTGGGTAAGATCTCTTTGACAATTTGAATTCTGCTCAAAGCTATTTTGCCAAAGCTTCTCATTGCTTGATCCAAACAGAAGTGGATAAGATGTACACTATATCCAGGCCGGCCCTGAACTTGTGGTGCTCCTCCTGTCTTAGCCTCTGGAGTGCTGGAATTACAGGTATGTGCCACCATGCCCAACTACTAAAAACTTTTGTAGTAAATCTATTTTATAACTGTTTTAGGCAAACTTGCTACCCCAAAATAGTAATTACTTACAAATGAAAAATTAACTCTTTGGAGAAAATTTATTGACTTAAATGGGAAGTCGCTGAGGGAAACAATATAAACTCTCATTTTAAAAAATGTGGTGTGATGACAATTGTGTTGAAAATTTTAATGAGGCCTGCACGATGCAATGAGCCACTCTTGTACCTGTGAATTAATAAAAATCCCATTGTAATAGCTCTCCAAGAGAGGAGATGTCTTTCTTATAGGACTCAGAGGAGTCATCTATTTGATATCAAGAACGCTTTGCATTTGTTTGAGCAGTGTTACTAGAAGACACCAGAGCTCCCCAGAGGCCACTTCCAAGCCCATGTTGTGACTCCACTGGAGGAACAGGGAAGTACGCTGAACCTTCTTAATGCAGAACTGACACCTCGATGAATCAAAGGCCATCCAAGAAAAGCATTAAGAAAATACAGACTATTCACAACTTCTGTCTTTGATTTTTCCCAGTTTTAATATGTACTTTATATTTTCCTTTTCTGTCCCCACTAGGATATTGGAGTGAAACCATCAATAATTCACATTTTAAAAAGGAACGAAAGCCTATGTTTATATGTGTATGTGTATGTGTATCCTACATATATGCACATATGTATCCATAGATATGCATGATCATACACACAGACATAGGCTTTTAAAAATTGTATCTATACTATTCATACATACGCACAGAGCTAAACTAAAAAAATCAGGCAGTTTTCCTAGAAGGAAAAAACCTGAAAATTTAATTGAGTTCTACTCAAAACTATTCTGTCAGAGCTTCTCTTTGCCCGATAAGTGACTAAGACGTCCATAATATTCAGCAACTGCTTTCACTTAAATGTCAATTTTTCTGTTAAGGCTTGTTCCTTATTTTGCATTGCTGGTCAGACAGCTATTCTCTTACTACCTTAGACTACTTAAGTGTTAACCTCTCTGAATCTGTGTGTCACCGGGTGCTCTTCCACATAATTTGTGGTATGGTGCTACCCTCGCTTTGAAGTAGAAGTTTACAAAAAAAGGGCAGCAATCAACCACGTTGTCCTGTTCAAGCATGCACATGTTTTATTTAAGTATTCTCCAAAGGTCTATTTTTCCAGCATAATGCAGGTATTATGCTATCCTTTGAAATAAGATATATGAAGCTCAAACAAAATTGTCAAAAACAACGACCTTATTACTCCATATGATACACAGAAATAATCACATTTCACTTACAATACAGATGCACTTAACACAGTCTTCAATAGTCATTCACCACCAACACAGTATATTTTAATATCACTTAAAACATTAGAAAGATATTTTCTTTTCAAAAAGTCCAAAGAAATTAATAATTTTTTTTGAGTAAGTAGTAAATCAAAAGAGGAGGCAGAATTGTCACCCAAAATAATCTAACTGCATTTTCTTTTATGCGATATTAACACCATGAAAATAAGTCTTCTCCTCAGGAACCAAAGGATGTCAAGTATTCCTGATTGTAGGTTCCTTAATCTACTTTTTAAGAAGGTTTTCAATAAGTGCCATCGAAGAAGTTTCACTATATATTTGCTCTAGAAGCATAAAGTGACAAGAGGCAGGTGTTCATATGCCTGTTAGTACTCACACTGCTGGAAGATTAGTAACTTTTTAAAAGATATACTAGGATTAAAGCCAGTTCTTCCCAAGAGACAGTTGAGTTTATTTTACTTTCAGCAAATGCTTATTAATATCTACTATGTGCACAGCACTGTTCTAGAATCTATATTAGAAATGGGAAGCAAGAATTTCTGGCTTTACTTTAAAATGGTTGGATTAATTCATTTTATGATAAGTTATAATTATGTTTAAATCTCTATATAGAGGGAGAATTATTAACTCTTTCCATGTATAGAAACTAAGTTGTATTTCTTACAGTGGTGGCTTAGAATGAACAAAACTCTTCATTTGACATAAAACTGTTTTACACTGGAACGTGCAGACATATCTGTTGATATATTTTAAGGGTGAAAAGGTATAAAGACTTTTCACGTAAATGTACATAGAGAACCAACTTCTCCTCATCAGACTCCTGTCCTCCCCATGTCATGGAGAAGACTACACCTGGAAAGATACAGAAAGCTTTCCAAGATAAGCTGGTGTCACCTTCCTGAGTGGCAGTGAAGGCGTGCTTTCATCAGATAATCGCTACCTAACACACTCCAGTTTATCTCGGTTGCAATTCATATTAGTAATTCTCAAACTGTATTCAAGATCTAAAGCAAAATAAATAATATATCAAGTGAGATTCTCAGATCATTGATCCTGTGATTTTAGTCCCAGTCAATTCTTCATAAAATACGTACTGACATATCCGGTCCCTGGGCATTTCCATAAATAGCAAAGGCGTTAGAGATAATTAATAAATGTCAACTCCTTTTTTCTAGTTTTTGACCAGGGGATTGATGGTAATCTACTTACAAGATGATGCATTGGGGAATACAAAGGTAGGAAAGTCATTTAAACTACAGTCCCACTGATGATAAACTCAATGGAAAGGCGCTATAGAAATCGAGGAATGAATAATGCACTGAGTCACAGATTACAGTGGACCAACGAATACTACTGAAAAACATTTATGACACCATAGTTTTGGACTAAAAAGTCACCTAAAACCAGGCCACATCAGAGGATTTCTTTCTATGGATGTGGCTTTTACTGTATCTATGAAGATTTGGAAAGTACAACAACAAAAGAAGTCCGATTCTTGATACAATAGGTGTACAATTATTGCAGTTGTAACATTAACTAGGTGCAAGATTAACCAATAATTAATACTGAACTATCTGAACACCTTAGATTTACTAATGAGCATCCCCATGAGAAATACTGCAGTCCTAAAAGGAGTTTATTTGCACAGCCCACCATGAAACATGAACAGTCAGCTTGTTGTAAGTGCACAGAAATTTCTCCTCTCTACAATTATAGTTATCATGCCTATTCTGAAGACAACATAAGGAAACTGAGGTCACTGCTCCAAAGAATTCTAGCATGCATTATGATGGTTTCCTTTAGTTAATACAAATGTGTTGTATGACTTTTTTTCATATGTAATAATCTTCATCATAGCCAATGTTCATGGTTTTAACAGGAAAAATTTTTATCAAAATGTTTCCATATTTTTTTGCTTTGCATTCATCTGGAACATTATGTTCAAGGATTTATTTTATTCGTTTTATTAAAAAAGAGTTCTGATCATAAGAAGCATCAAGAGGTGGCATTTCATTGTGCTCATTCACAAAGTCAAAGGGCCACAGAAGATTCCTCTGTATAACAGGTTAAACTGTCTAGAAATACCATTTGACGGTTTTGATTCACATCCTTACGCGTGGAAGCTGTATTTTTGTTTCACTACCGACCTTCCTGTTCTGCTGTCTTCATCTGCAGAAGATGTACTGGTTCTCCTTGCTTCTACACTGAGATCCTTTCCATGGCCAGGGCTCAGTCTCTTCTCAGCCCATTCCCACTGTCTTACAAAGCAGACACTCTGACGATATTGCCTCCTGCATACTCCGGAGACTCTGGCCTGTCATCTCCTTCTGGTGTGGTGACCGGAGGGGTCGGGATGCTTATTATTGCTGTAGTCACATAAGGTTGCTCACAGTTTAGTTTAACACACTCTTCCATTTTGGCATTTAAACTGGATCGGCTGATGAGGGTAAAATACATAAAGTTAGGCGTTTACTTAAAACATTTTCTGTCACAGAAAAAAGTAGTATTTGAATACTTACAAATCTTAAGTAACATTTAAATGCTCAATAAAATTTCCATATAAAATGCATGTTATCTAACAATAGATTTTTAAAAATAAGCTTGATTTACTTTAATTGCTCCTTTTTTAAAAAATTTATACACATGCAAGCAAGGAAGGGGATCAGATAAGATCTGAACAGTCAGAGTAAAATAGTCAACCTTAAAATAGGGACTTGGACAGGCATGAGCACCATCATGGAAGGAGTTGTACCATGAAGGCTTTTCAAATCTCCCTCACAGAATTTTTTCATTATTGTGGTTTTTTTTTTTCATTTTTATGTGTTTGGTACAGGAATTTACTATGCAGCTCTGATTTGTAGCATTCTTCCTGTTTTCAGCCTCCCCAGCAATGGGGTTACAGGCATGTGCCACCACACGTCACGCCAGGGTGACGCCAGGGGTGGGCCTGGTGCAGTGTTTGGTACTGGGGATCGAACAATGGTCCCTGTGCTTGTCAAAGCAGGCGCTTAGTAGGCTGAGCTATCTCACCGGCCCTTCATTATGGTGTTTCTGCAACATATAATGACCTTAATGCTCTCAGAATATGATGGCAGCACACCAGAACCCAAAAAGTAGCAATTACCATCTACTACTTCCAGGTTTTCCTAAGGGTTATCTTAGAGGGAATGTCATCTTCTGTGGAGAAGATGCAGGGAAAAGAAGCAAAAGAGTACAAAGGGAAGGTAAAACTGTTAAAGTGTTTTATTTGAGCATTTTCTTCCTAAAGACTTCTCCATTTCAGCTTGTAATGCACATAGAGCAGAACAATGGTAAAATATCTTAAAGATAGAAATTTTCATTGCTCTAAATTTTAACATTTTGATCATAATCACATCTAAACTTATAAATCAAGTTTTGCCACATTCAGAGTCTTATCTGGGTTTTCAACAAAGATTGCTGAATCCCAGCAAAAAATAAGCCTGAATTTACAGATAGACAATCTAAGAATATATACTCTTAAAATTAAATGGAGAAACTTCTTTGGCAAGAACAATTAATGATGTGTATAATTTAAATACTTTTATGCTACATATTTTTGTGGTAATAGCAAATAGTAAATAATGAAAGGCAAAGAGGAAAGATTACTAAAAAAATTCACATAAATTGTTTATACATTAACCAAAA